TCAAGGCTCCCGATCCCCGCCGTTCCGCGGGCCCTGACGTGTAGGCCCCTAGGCATCTCAAGAATTTTCTTGCCTGGCTGTAAATTTAGGAATGTGTCATTTTACAACAAACGCATAAAAAAGTATAATTTACTAAAAAATCTCGGAAAATTAAGTCATTTCAGCATTATGTGTAAACCACCGTTATGGAATTAGAAATAAACCACGTTTGAATTTTATTTCCCCCGAGCCCACTCCCCAATCAGTACGCCAGTGCCCCCCCCCCCTGATTTACACTTTGTTGGCAACTCTCTCTTTTTTTTCTTTCCCTTTCTCTTCTCTTTCCCTTTCCTTTCCCTTCTTTCTCTCTCTCTTTTAGGTTTTCTATCTCCCCTTCTTTTCACCCTTTTTTTTTCCTTCCTCTCTTTTGGTCCCTTTTAGCTCTCATTTTTTCATTTTCCTTCCTTCTCTATCTTTTTTTTTAGCGGGGGCGGGGGGAGGCAAAGGCCTTTTGCCCCACCCCCATCCCGATCCGCAACTTGTTGGCATGAAAATTGCAACTGATATCCCCCTTCTTTTATTTACTTCTTTCTCAATTTTCCTTCCCTTTATTTCCTCTTTAGTGACTGGTCCCGCAGAAACTAGTGCTAAGCCAGTCACAGAGAATTCATGATTTCAACTGATGCCTGTCAGTGCATTGTAAATTTGATTTTTCTTCAAATTTCATTTAAAAATCTTTTCATATTGAGAAATATTATGGTGCATTGGCGTATGGGCTATGGTTGGAGCGTTGGATGCGTTGAACAGCGTTGGTGTATTATGAGGATTTATCATATTCATATTCTGAATATTTTCAGCGAATTGAATAATATTGACAAGGATGCAATTCATAGTTGTACTCGATAATTCTCACTTAACATATTCTCTCTTTCTCTCTCTTCCTGTCTTACATAAAGAAAATATGAAAATAATATTTGGCCTTGATTAAGAAAAATTGAAATTTTATCAGTATTAAACAGGGAGAAGGAAAGGGGAGGAAATTAATCAAAACAAACATTGAAGAATCCAATTCAGTGTTCTTTCGTGATTCATAAGAATGAAAGTACATTAAAAGGTGAAATAATAAATTGAAGAGCGATGATAAATCAATTCTTTGACGTTGATTGATTGAATGAAAAATAATGAAACAATATGGTCTGAAGGTCATATATCTTCGAATATTAGAAAGTTTCATCCACCATCGTGTTGTTGAACACTATTTGCAATTTAATTTTAATGCGGTGACTTGTCGGTTACGAGCAGAAGGTCATTTCGGGCTTCTATATTCTATAATACTATCAACAGATATCTGGATAGAGACATCTCGTCACATCAAGCTACGAGAAAGTATATCATCATCTCACAGAATTATACTTTAGCGACAACACAATCATTCAAACCATATAAGCAGTACGCCTACACAGGCGCGTACGCAGGGGGGGGGGGGGGGGTTTGGGGGTTAAACCCCCCCCTTTGGAAATTTTTTGTGTGTAAACCCCCCTAAAAAAAACCTCAAACCCCCCCCCCTTTTGGATTTTTTTTTTTTTTTTTTTTTTTTTTTTTTTTTTTTAATTATTAAAAAAAAAAAAAAAAAAAAAATATTCCCATGGCCGACCTAAAAAAGGTGACCTTACCCCCCCCCCCAACGGAGCAAAATGTCAAATTTCCAAATTTCGAGACCAAAAAAAAAAAAAAAAGTGTCCTCTTACCCCCCCCCCCCCCCCCCCCCCCCCCCCCCCCCCCCCCCCGCTTATTCAGCGGTCGGCTGAGTCGTTGCGATTTTTTTGGGACCCCCCAAAAAAAAAAATGTGTCCTCTTACCCCCCCCCCCCCCCCCCCCCCCCCCCCCCCCCCCCCCCCCGCTTATTCAGCGGCTGGCTGAGTCGTTGCGAAATTTTCGGACCGATTTATAAATGTTAAAACCCCCCCCTTGAAAAAATCCTGCGTACGCGCCTGCGCCTACATACAAAACACATTGTCAAGTATTGTTTATACCATAAGGATGAACACGTTTCAATGAAAAAAGAAAAATGAATCATTCAACCAGACAATGAATAGGGTTGATTTCATGTTTTAGGGCTACAGCTATAAAGGATTTTCTATATGAGAGAATATGAGAGGAAGAGAGAGAGAGAGAGAGAGAGAGAGAGAGAGGGGGGGGGGGGGGAAGAGGGGGGGGGGGGAGGTAGAGATAAAAAAATATATATCATTTTTCACACAGATATACTTTAAAATTATTTCTTTTTAATTACAGAGCCCTATCGTTTGACTGATCACAATTACATGCATTTTAACCATATGATTTTTCAACAATTCAGTGACTTTTGATATCCTTGATTTCCTAATATTGGAAATCAGTTAGATGAACAATCGTATCAGGACAATTACCCTCTGGGCAATCAACCCCCCGGAAAATAACCCCCATAAAATTATCCTCCGGTAAATTCCCTCCCCCCCCCCGAGGACAATTACCCCCCCGAGGATTATTACCCCCGAGGACAATTACCTCCCACCTGCAAATCACCATCTCTTCGTTAAAGGCGAAGTCTAGCCTGATAATAAGTTGGTTTTAAAACTTTTAATACTAGAAGGCAATTTTTTTCGGGGGGTAATTTTTTGGGGTAATTTTCCAGGGGGATATTGTCCTGGGGTTGGGGGTGATTGCCCAGGGGTTAATCGTCCTAGAACCATGAGCAAGAGGAATTATAATAATTAAAAAAAAATGTATATGAAGAGAGAATTTCATCATAAAAGACATATAAGACGCTTATCATGTGCCCTCATAATTAAGTATTCCTTTTACCTCGTCAATTAGATGTATTACTTCAAAGCACCGGTCTAATCATGAATAATGTTTAAAAAAAATATCATTAATACAATCATGTAGATAATGAATATATCAAGACAGTTCAATTTCATATGACTTTTCTTAAAGAGAAGGTTGAGTTCTGGGAAGAGGTGAAAAAATAATTTGTGAGCATTACTCATTCTTGTTATGCAAGTGTGGAAGAACATCAGTTAAGACATGTTCCCTGAAAAGCATGGCTCTTCAAATGCCTTCATATTCTAAATATGCATGTAACATCGTAAAAATCGGGGGCCGGATTTTTACGCCACGTGTTTGTGTAGTCCCATATACATCTTTCTGTGCAAGTGTTTGTAACTTTACCAAGACTTGGCCACATTTCTTATCATTTTGATGATTCCAGAACCTTGCAATACACACAAATTCTTATTATGCTAGATGATTAACCTTTTCTGGTCGGTTCCACATCGTTTCTTTCATAATGCAATCGCATGACCAGAACTCAACTTCATCTTTAAGGCAACGAAACAAGCCATAACCAAACGTAAACCAATATATTGCCAAATTATTATTTTGTCAAGAACATAATGTATCCATATCCAGAATTATTTAGCATAAAAATGTCATGCTTTTATGGAAAAGTATACAATTTTTCAGCACGCGTCCTGCTCGCGAATTTTTTTTCCGTACTCGAGAGGGCAAATACCCCATGTGCGCATGCGCGTGGACTTGTGATTTCTCTGCTACTTCCCATACGAAATGTACATGTATTCGCATCTACTGTGCACGATTCGCGTTCTACGAGTAAACGATGGCATAGTAGTCTTCAAACACAGACTCTGATTTGCCAGTTTGACAAAACAATTACGCATATATCGTGCGTAGCAATAGTACTAGTATTCAAGTCTGAGTAGTTGTATGATTCAGACATTTTAGTGCTTACAGAAATGCATCCCAAATTGAATAGCATGGTATAGTAGTCTGCAAGCACAGACGCTAATCGGACAGTTTGACAACATAGTGTCTTGAGTAGTGCTTTATATTCAAATATGCTTAGTTGTATGATTCAGACCCTACTGGTGCGTGTATTGGAAAGGCATCTCAACTTGCAGAGTGGCATAGTAGTCTGCAAGCACAGACGCTAATCTGACAGTTTGACAAAATAGTGTTATTCAAGTCTGAGTAGTTTTATGATTCAGACCCTACTGGTGCGTGTATTGGAAATGCACCTCAACTTATAGAGTGGCATAGTAGTATGCAAGCACAGACTCTCCTTTGACAGTTTGACAGAATAATATAGGCCTATTGTGTATTGAGTAGTGCTTTTATTCAAGTTTTCGTTGCAGACTACTATACTACACTCTACACATTGAGATGCATTTCTATCGCACGCACCAGTAGGGTCTGAATCATACATCTACGCAGACTTGAATAAAGTACTTCTCAGCACACTACTAGTATGTTGTCAAACTGTCAGATTAGCGTCTGTGCTTGCAGACTACTATACCATTCTATACAAGTTGGCGACTTGAATAAAGTACTTCTCAGCACACTACTAGTATGTTGTCAAACTGTCAGATTAGCGTCTGTGCTTGCAGACTACTATACCATTCTATACAAGTTGCAATGTATTTCCATATGCACTACTGGGTCTGAATCATACAACTACACAGACTTGAATAAGCACATCGCGACACATACGCATATTGATTTGTCAAACTGGCAAATCAGAGTCTGTGTTTGAAGACTACTATGCCATCGTTTACTCGTAGAACGCGAATCGTGCACAGTACATGCGAATACATGTACATTTCGTATGGGAAGTAGCAGAGAAATCATAAGTCCACGCGCATGCGCACATGGGATTTTTGCTCTCTCGAGTACGGAAAAAAAATTCGCGTCCTGCTCGCGCGTTGGACAAATGTTATTGTTGGGACTAGTTGTTTGACAACGGTTCTTGCTTACAAAATACAAAATACTAACAAGTATAAGGTAAATCTGTATCCCTATAAAACTTTCCATTTTATTAGTTTTATGTCAAAATGTTGATGACGCAAATATACTTATTCATGCTCCTTATGTAAATGTATCGTGAATACGGAATACCTAAAAACGGCTGAAATAAAATCTATTACGTATTTTATAAGAGTTATTGTTTACATCACACATTAATCACGTGCAAGGTCGGCTGATCTGTACAATACACAGATACGGTGATTGAGCAAGCTTGCCTGGGCAAACGATCGCGACCACTGATGGAAGTTGTAAATTGAAACTAAATGTGAGTTGAAGGCTTTAAGTTTTGGTTTTTCTAGTTGATGTTAATGTTATATAAAACTTGATAAAGCTTTGTCATGGTAAATGGTTAATCGTGTCAGTTAGAACTGTAGCGGTCAGGCAATGGGAAACTTTGCCGAATTCGACTCTAGCTCCTGTAACTTACTTTGACCGGAGCGCCTCGAACTCGCGCCCCGGCGGTCCTGGCGTTCAAACTACCTTCTGTGCGCTTCCTTGCTTCGAAGTAGCGTGTAGATCTAGGCCTGTATGATAATGAGAAGGGCGTGTCTGAGAACGTTTTAAGGAGTTGTTCTACTTGTTTAAAATAGCAGAAGGAAATTGATTTGATATCTAAATAAAAGAATGGTGAGATTTGTGTTGGTCTTAATTAAATTAAGGCACATGGTTTCTTCAGATGGATAGATTCTAGATCATAAATGATGATTTTACTAGATATTTGATCTAGATCTAGATCTAGGGGTCTAGACCTCTACTAGATCTAGATCTGCAAATCCAAGAATTAAAGGCTCCAGAAATGTATAAGCTTGTTTTAAATTAATCAGGTCGGACTCGCAGGTTTCATTGCAAATGATTAAGATAACAATTAATATACCAGTAAATTATTTTGTGTGTCTCATTCTTTATTCCAGATAAGCTGAAACAGACCACCAAGTTTCAATCAGAATGGCAACACCTACTGAATTCCGCTGGAATCGTACAGGTGCCTACGCCCTCTATGTCCTCCTGCTGTTGTTGGTCACCTACCTATTGAATCAGCTTGACCGCTATGCTCTGGCCATCTGTACACAGCCCATGGCCCAAGAGATTGGCTATGGTGATTATGGATGCCTGGAACTCAAGAATGTCTCCAAGGCAGAGATAGGCAAGGCTGGTTGTCCGAAGAATGCTACTGAAGTACAGTAAGTTGAGAGTGAAGATGATTGCAATTTGGATTTTAAGCAGACATTGCATGAAAGAAATACTATATGCTTACACTTATATAGTGCATACATATATAGAATTTGTATATTCTATGTAATTATATTTTGTTGCACCAAGCATTTAGAAAAGCTTTGTGAAAAAGATATTAAAATGAAGGAAATAGAAAATGCAATTAAGAATTCATAGTCATATCGGACATTTCTACATGCCTTGACCAAATCTACCCTCTCCATCAACTCCTGGCAAGCCATCCTAATGAAGTACAGACTCCCAGATCTCCATACCCTCATACAACACCCAATTCCGTACACATTGTGGAAGAAGAAATCCAAGAGGGCAGTGATGGACGTAGTGAATGACAACATCCTACAAGCAATAGAAAAGAAGTCGTCCCTGTCACTATGGAGGAACATGCCCATACCAGACCCAATGCTCCTGTATCCACAGACCAGCAGCTCACAGTTTCTGAGGCAAGCGATCATAATAAGATCACAGTTGGCATGCAACACATACCTAACCCAAACTAGGCTTGTCACCATTAAGAAAGCAACCTCAACCACTTGCCGTCTTTGCCACCAGGAAGATGAGGATAATATCCACTTTGTGGCCTCCTGTAGTATCCTAGCGTCACACCGAAGTGACTTCATCGGAGAAATGCAGAGCAGACACTTTTCTGAAACCGCCCTCTCATACTTCAACTTCAATGATGGCTTTGCATTCACAAAAGCTATACTTCTTCCCAACCACCTCATGCTCCCATCAAATCTATATGATAGACTGAACACTCTAATTCTACTCTTCCTCCATAAAATTCACATTGCCCGTACCTCTATCCTTTCCTCTCCCACTTGAATGTTTGTAACTACAATGTCAACAGCTGGAGACGAAAGACACCAACACTGACGCTTGCAGAATACAACTGCAGATCTCCGAGAACAACGGAGGAAGAAGAAGAAGAAGAAGTCATGGCAAAAGAGTCTGATATTATAAATGTCGTCTTTTTTGTATGGATAAATTATGAAATATCTTTACTTGATTTAATGTAGTGTGCCTCAATTCAAGTAAAGACTTTCTGTGGTGAAATACAGAATGATAAAAACCGAAGGTTAGTTGTGCATGTATACCATAGAGATGCATTGAGATTTTTGTAATACATTTCTCTTGATGTACATGCATGACTGTCATTGTACTTTTTAATTTTTAATTTTTTGATTGACAGGTGTGACACATACCTTGGGCCTAACAAGACGGAAGTCTGTTACTACGACAGAACCGGAGGAGGTTTTCAGTACCAGATCCTAGCTGGACCGATCTTCATAGTCATTTACACATTCGCAGGTTGGTAAAACTAATAGCTCCATGGTATGACCCGTCTGCGTTATTATGAACCAGTGAATCTGTCATATAGCTTTATGGATTTGTTGGTTTATAATGTCAGTGACAAACTTATGCAATGTCCTACAATGATATATACACTGTAGACTGTCTTCCATGTTAATTTCTTTTCCCCTGCTGTATTTAAAAAAAAAAGGAAAAAAAATCAGTGTTAGATCCTAGCTGGACCTATTTTCGTATTAACACGGACCGTACTACGGATTTCATGTACATGTAGTCTCCTTCCAGATTCAGTATATTGAAAGCAGGGAAAACACTAGTCCATAATCTGGCCTATTTAATTTTGATCTCCACCACACCAACGCTACCTCCCCCTACTAACTTGCTACCAGCCTAAGATGGCGTGATAAATAAATTAGGACGCCCGGCAAAGAGGTTCTCAGGCTGGGCTGGTGAGAGTTTGTTGATAACGCCATCTTCGGCGGCTTGAATCAAGTGTGTAGGGAATATAAAGAACTGGCCAGATTCTGGACCATGAAAACACTCCATCTTGTAGACAAGGATGAGTTAAAATATTTTACTTTATGCACTCCTTTACCACAAAACTGTGGGCTGTATAATACATTACTGGTTTTCCCACCCATCTTCTATTTAAATGTCAGGTATTGGACTTGGATATCTAGCTGACATCACCAATCGCAAACTCCTGCTTGCAGGGTGCTTAGCCTTCTGGAGTCTGATGACCTTTCTTACTGGGTTCGCTTCAGAATACTGGCATCTCGTCATTCTCAGATTCGGATTGGGTTTCGGGTAAGCGTGCAGATAGTTTTAAAGGGGAAGTCCAACCTGATATTCAAACCCCTAAAAAATATACCAGGGCCCCATTTTACAAAGCTTGTCATCACCAGTGACAAATGACAGTTTTTGTTATAAGCTAGTGAAATCCTAGCTTCTGATTGGTTATCAGCAGATTTATCACTGGTTCTTGTCATTTGTCATTGAAAAAAGGCCTTGTGAAACGGGCCCCAGATGTATGAGTAGAAAGAGCAAAAATGTTGCATTCGATGCCAGGAACTTTAAAGAGAAATATAAGCCTTAAAATGCTTCAATCAGCACCATGTTTAGAGGTTAAAAATAATTACTTCCGATCAAAATTGGCAATTTTTTTTGTTTGTTTGTTTGTTTTTTTTTTTTGGGGGGGGGGACTAAGTTCTTATACATAGATATTGCTATTAGAGACATTTCATTATAGTATTAATGACTGCTGAATATTAAAGCAGTCATTAATACTTTTATATGCCGAAAAACAAAAGAGTCAACTAATGACACCACCTTGGCCTTTCTCTAGTTTATCTGCACGGTTGTTTTTTATGAGTGTATCTTTGAGAGTAGACTAGATCTAGATTCTAGTCTAAGCAAGATATTTTTACAATTTTGGGGGTGGGCCGGCCCTGTGGGGAAATAGGAGAAGAACCTGCCTCTTCATATGACACCTCACTTATTGAGTATCACCTTCAGGATCACAACAGATAAAGGTTTGAATCTCGAATTGAAAAAAAAACTTGACTTTTTTTGCATGGTCGCGCAATGCACGTAGACTGCATAGAGACTGCATTGCGTACAATCTCTATGGGAATAATTTTAGTAAACAACATCGGGTGCGCGATCAGACACCCTGACTAGTAGTAGACTACTAGATCTATTTTCGTCTACGTCTATGCTGGTACTCATTTTCAGCAACTAAACGAACATGTTTATGGATAATTTCACATACCCTTTTTGTTGTTCTTGCTGTCAGCGAGTCTTGCATTTGATAAGTTGAAATCTTGGGAGATTTTCTTTAGCCATTTTTGTCTTGTTTGGAATTGTCTTGTCTTGTATGAAAAAAACTGACCAATTCTTCGCACACGTACGGTATCCTCGATCGCTCAAACCATTTTTAACATCTAAAACCTATGGGTAACCATGGAGACTGAACTATTTTCCCGGTAACCATGGTTACTGGGATTTTAGAACTATTTTAACCATGGTCACTGGGAATTTTACAGAAATAGTTTAAGTTTATGAATGCAATTTCGACCAATCAGATGGCTGGATTTCTTAAGTGAGGTATATAATGTATGTTATTGTTGCCAATTTAAAGAACAACATGTGACCAATTTAGCTTTTAAAATAAATCCTGTCCTGAATGGGTTTTTGAATAAATGCCTGTAAACCTTTGCAATAATCTGAATTTGAATTTGAATTTGAATATATTGGTCATTATATAACAGAAATTCTCCCTTTTTCTTTTTCATTACAAAGAAGTGTACAATGGCAAATAGCCATTAAGTGATAAAACAATAGAAGGAAATACGAAATTGGTTTTAAGGAAGTTTTGACCATTGTTTATCAGAATAAAAATACAGGAAAAGAAAGGTCATTTCATTAACTCATCTAAAATGCCTTCCTATAATGTGTGAAAAAAAGAAAACAGAATTTATGTTTGATTCAGATCACAGCGCCCCCTAACATTACGGCCTCACTGTATAGATCTATTGAATAATGCATTCTTAAGCAGCAGCAGTATGCTATGTCATACAAGTCATTAGAAATCTGTCACCATTTTCTTTTTTATTTCTTTTATCCAGAGAGGCAGGTTGCACACCGTTTGCTTCTAGTCTCATCGCTGATTATTTTGCTGCGAATGTTCGTGGGATAGCCCTGGGAGGCTATAACATTGGCATCTATGCAGGCTACAGCTTGTCCTATGCTCTGGGGGATTTTATAACAGCAGCTAACATTAATGGGCAGGTATGGACCGTACGATGATATGTGACTTAAGTGTTTCAGTACCTTTGCTAGTTGCATTTACATGCATAAATATCTATTGTTAAATGGGGGAAGGGCAAACAAAAATAGTAATAGAACTGCAGGCCCTTTCAAAGTGCTTTTCATATTAATACCCTGGTCATCGGATTCAGGCTTACCCGCACACAATGTATGCACATTTTCTACTCCCTGGGGAGCATTTCTGCCAGGCAAGCGCACAATTGCTCATCCAACCACATTCACTTTCGCATCCTACTGGGTACCCATTTAACACCTTGTTGGAGAGTGGCAAATGTAGATCAATGCCTTGCCAAAGGACATTAGTACCGCGGCGGGACTTGAACCACGGATCTTGTGATCCACAGTTCGGTGACATATCCACTCGACCATGACACCTCTGTATGAACTCCCCAAAGTCTTTGCATTTAACAAATTCTCTCTTTATGATCTGCAAGGCTGACATTGAGTGTTGTAAACTTGTAATATTACAATGGTCTCTCTTTTTTAATGTTCAGGGATGGCGTTGGGTCTTCTGGATTGCAGGTGTACCAGGTTTCCTAGTCGCTGCCCTCATAGCCTTCACTGTGAAAGAGCCGGTAAGAACAAGGAACGCATCGCTACAGGAGAGATCCGAGTCCTACGAGACCAGCGGTCTGCAGAAGCTAAAGATGGTGATGGCTTGCTTCTGTAGTCCCTCCCTACTGATTCTGTGTCTTGCTGGATCTATCAGAAATGGAGGTCAGTAGTGTAGTGTCCATAGATTTATGGCTTACTAAAATTATTACAAGTATTAAAATGAATATTGAGAACTTTGCTTGGTAAAGTTACAATCACTGTACTGTCTGTACACAGAAATATTTATATGGAAATTCATGAACATGAGGCATAAAAATCTGAGCCGCTTTTTACGCTTTTACGTACATGTCATATTTAGAATATTAAGGCATTTGAAGAGCCATGCTTTTCAGGGAACATTTTTTATCTGATGTTCTTCCACACTTGCATAATATTGATGATATAATGCTCACAAATTATTTTTCACCTCTTCCCAGAACTCAACCTTCTCTTTAAAACATTGAGAGATAACTTTTTGATTAAACTATACAAATGTATTAGAAGAAGTGTAAAATGATATACAAATAGGATAACATTAGTTTTCTGACCTTCAATGTCTGTATATTTTGTTGATATAGGATTTACCTTATCATCTGATATATAATGGGCAGTCATAACAAGGACCCTAGGACCATGAGAATTACCTTGATATATCAACAATCCTGTTGTGCATCGATACAAAAAACAAAAGAGTCTAAGAGTTTGTACATCAGCAAAATTAACTTGTTATCAGATCAGGGCCCTGTATGTTGCGATTGATCCAAACAAATTGCAAGTCCTCAAATCAATGGCAAGTTTACAGTCTCCTATCTCTTAAAGGTAAAGACCAGTTCTGTTCATCCGATTGCATTGTGAAAGAAACGTTGTGGAATCGGTCAGAAAAGGTTGATCATCTAGCATATAAGTATTGGTGTGTATACTGCAAGGTTCTGGTATCATCAAAATGATAAGAAATTTGGCCCAGTCATGGTAAAGTTACAAGCACTGTACACAGAAAGATGTATATGGGACTACGCAACACGCGCGCTATATCTATCCAGTCCAGATAGATATAATAATTTACCAAATATATCAATTGGTAGGCGGTTTCCCAGCAAAATTTGTATTATCACCTATTAGTCAAAACATATTCTTTCACATGATTGGTAATAAGAGCTTCCATGTCATTTTTTGAGAGGAGGGCGTTTCCAAAACTGGTCTATTCCTTTAAGTACATAGATGCAAATGATTTAAATTGCAAATCAGATGTGATTAATCGCAACCGTTTATAAGACAGAGCCCAGAGCTTTTATATATTTTTAGCAAGGGGCAAGAGCCTCCCTATTTGGTAGATCTTATGTTTCCTAAGAAACTGTTACTTTTGTTATTTCTTTCAGCTGGCTATGTGTGGGGTTATAACACCCAGCTGTACTTCACAACATACTACCCGGAGGTCAGCACTGGACAGTGGCTGTCCTGGATTCCGTTGGTAGGGGGCAGCATTGCAGTAGTATTCGGAGGATTTATCTCCGATAGATTGGTCAAATGGGGACCGTACGCCAGGATATGGGTGCTGATTGCAAGTCTGGTAAGTTTACTTGCATGAAGCAAAGTGATTTTAGCGTCATTGATTGGATTACATTTAAATTTGGATGGCTAGGTAGTTATGGAAGGGAACTGTTTCATTCCAAATCTTTAGGTAACATAATTAGTCATTTTGGTGATGCAGTTGATCTGTCAAGAAAAACTAAACACAGTTCAGATATTATATTGCATAAATATTTCTCCTTATAATTATAAATCTTGAAAAGTTGTTATTTCATTTGTTCTTCTTCAAAACCCATGTTCTTAAAGCCCCTCTAAAGTGTTGGGAGCCCCCGGCCAAAATTTTGATGGAAAAATTTCACTTAAATTTAATCATAATGTGAAAGAGGATGTCATTTAAGACACATTTCTGAAAGGATTTCCAAAACAAATGTTTGAAGTTGAATATTGATGAAGTTATACAAAATTTAGGTTTTCTGCGTACAACCGAAAACCTAAATTATGTATTCTTTTATCAATATTTGTCTTCAAACACATTTTTTTTTTTTTTTGGGGGGGGGGGGGGGGGAGGGGGGAAGGGAATCTTTGCAGAAGTGTGTCTTAAATTACATCTTCTTTCACATTATGATACAATCTAAGAGAAATTTCGCCATCAAATTTGGGGGGAATTTGGGGCTCCCAACACTTTAGAGGGGCTTTAACATAAGCATTTAAAATTATGGTTTCATAATAATGGTTGGTGTATCCTTTATATAAATGCTCATTATCAATGTAGGCTAAGCTTAGATTTGAATTTAATTAGCCTTCTTTTGTCTTGTTTTAATCATGTGACCAGACATTAGCAGCTCCTTTCGCCGCTGGGACTCTGTTCTTCAAGCCACCGTGGGCTTTTGTGTTCCAGATCCCTACCTATATCATAGGCAAGTATGCTCTGTGTGTTTCAGCTCCCACATAGTCTGCATGTACAGACTCTAATTTAACACTTAAACACAATTCCATAAAAAAGTCTAGCTCTGTCGGTCCATGCCTGGCTGTGTCAGAAGCATCTTAAGTTTATCACATAAAGTAGTATTTCTGGGCTTTCAAAATTTTGAGACTTCCACAAGTTGTTATAGTTTTATAGAAAAGGCAATGTATCAATTACTCTTTTGTCAAAATAAAGAAAACTTTATGAGATAAAATTAACCAGTGGACATATTGGATACTTAAGATGAAATTTTGCAATGGATAATTTGTATTTATTATCAATCTTTAATGACATCTGTTAGATATTTTATTATTCTTAACTTCAAAATGTTTTATTCTGTAAGTTTTATGTGATATGAAAGTCCTTCAAAATGTTTTTCATGTGTGAAATGATGATGACCGTCTTTTACCTCTGTGCAGGGGAAATGTGGGTCAGTGTAACCTTAGCTGTGGTGATAGAGCTGGTCCCGTCGAACATCAGAACAACGGCCATCGCTTACTACTTCTTCATCATCAGCAACATTGGGGGCAACATGCCCCTTCTTGTACCCCCTATCGAGCAAGCTCTCGGCCTCCGTGCTGCTCTTTATATCCTCTATCCCGGCTGCTACTTATTGGCGTAAGTATATGGAAGCATTTTCATTTCATTTCATTTCGTTTATTTCCATTTCCAGCAAAATAAAATAAAGTACATAATAATAATAGTAATAATATTTAAATTTTATATAGCGCTTAATACAAATGTCTCTAAGCACTTTACAAATATACTATTACCCCAGTCATTAGATTCAGTGCTTGCCCGCACACACTGTGAGCACAATCTCCACTCCCTGGGGAGCATTCCAGCCGGGCGTTACTTGACGCTCACAAGCTGTTTGACCAACAATGACGGCCATGGCATTGCATTGTACATAGTAAAACAATGAAACTTAACATTATATTTGTAATTAGTCCACAGTGTACAACAGGCATATACAACAGGTTGGTCATGGTTCTGCTGAAAAGCTGGGCTTGTAGATTGCAGCCCCCTATAACTTATAGTTGCAAAAATAGTATATCAATAATAAGGGAACGCACAAATACATAAACTGGGTAGACATAACATAAAAGGAGTGAAAGGGACAGGAAAGAAGGGAGATAAGGAACGAGAGAGGGTTGGACTCTTACCTATAACACTCACAACAAAGCAAGGACAGACTGGAATCGAATGGCAGTACAAAATGAATGAAAATATAAAATATTATTTTATTGGGTGGAATAAATTTAATGAGGGAGAGCTGATTTGATTAGTTCTTTCAATCTTTCTTTTTTCATAAACTCATAAATCATAATCCAACTTTAAATTGAAGAACTTGATTTAAAAATTGCTTCATGATGTTAATTACACTGATGTTGGTAAGTTACTTACATGATGGTATTTACAGACACTGCGAGTTTGTAATGTGAATATCGATCTTGTTTTTTCCTCTTCTTCTGAGCTGCCATATTAGCAATCTCAAAGTTTGTGGTGAAGATGATTTTCTTGTGAAAGATCTCTCTGAGCAGAGCTGCTTAATTTCTTGCCTTTGATTTTAAAACGTAAATAAAAGAATGAATCAGGAGAGCTTAGGTATTTGTTTGTAGCTCATCATGACTGTGCCGTGGACTAATGATGGCCTGGTGGTAGGGTCGCTGCACGGCAAGCAGTAGATGCAGTTCAAATCCCACAGTTTCCAAGATTTTTTCTGACTTGTTTTCAATTACAGATCAATCAATCGATCTTTATTTACTGGGTGTAAGCCACAAGTATGTTTAAACAATTTAAATATATATCGTTGTTCATTGATGTTTTGTCTTTTCAGAGCTGCCATATTTGCCATCTGTATATTGGTTGTGAAGAGGGATATCCGTCGCAAGGAAGCGCTGGACGTTCCCGATTCCAGTCCTCTCCTAGCTGATGATGTGAGACAAGAAGATTCCAAGGTGGATTAACACAAAATGTTCCGAAATCATGTTTTTTTCACAATCGGTCAAATATTACCTGTTTTGGTAAGCTTTTTCCTGCTACCCTGTAACCATCTTAAAGCTCACTGTACTACTATATAGAAAACAATTTGGTGACCATTGGTCCCCCATGATCCTCTTTTTCTTATGTTAAGTGAGAGCTGATTTAATAACCACCTGTCAGTGACCTTGCAGGATGGTCTTATCCGTCTTATAAACTAGTACAGATGGCCTTTAAGATCTCTGTCGTAGCTGGGGCTGTTGCTTATGCAGAACGCTGATATGGTAGAAAGAGATTGTACGTTGGAGAAAGAGTATATTGGCATCAATCTCTGTTCATGGATGTACCGCATTCCGAGCGTTCATGTTCAGCCTACCTTATCCATCTGGGCATCGTTTCACGAAACGGTCATTAGTTCCAGTTCGTATTACAATTAACCAGCGTTTTAAACGATGTTGGTGAACTTGTACTTTTGATGGTTTCTTGAAACGACTCCCTGATGAACATGGTGCTTGATGATGTCTCTTCTTCGGTCTCTACCATATAGTCATCAGCAACGGATTCAGCAATGGCGCCAGCTAGGACATAGGTCTCAAGAAGCTTGCAGCATGGCAAGTGATAGCTTACCAAACCAATTTTTTTGAAATCTTTAAAAATTATTTTTTTTCAAGGGGGTACTGATTGTTAAAACAGAACAATATCCCACTTTTTCATCACCAATCAGATGAAGCTAGCCCGTTTAGTGGATTAGAATGGTTTAGGGAGTTATTAACTCCTTGTATGCCAGACAAAATACTGTTCTATGGAATTTATGTGTACTGTCTGTGAAAAAAATGCCTCATTGGGGCAGTATGGGTTAAAAGACAATGATTGGTTGTGGTAATGCATTGTATTTGGAGAGGTAGTGACTTAATGTAATTCTTAAGCTGTGTTATATGCACTACATGTAGATGTGCTGTTTGATCAGCAAAAATATATAAAAAGTAAGTAAAACTGAGTGAAAAATCACATTTACTGAAAAGCACAACTGTTATTAGACTGCAGGCTTCGTGTATGCTTGAGTACAGTACTACTAGCTAAATTACCTATCTTTTCTCTTTATTGTGGTATTCCACATTTTCTTTTGAAATTATTTTACAGACAATATATATTTGTAGTCTTGAACCTACGTGCATGTTTTATTTGATTCTGTGAGAATCATTATCCATCGCCACTAGAAATCAGGGTTCCCTTTGATTGATTATTCAGAGTCGGCTCCTTTGTGGCACCAGTGAATAACCCTCTCGCAACAATCATTCCACATTTTGTGGTTTGGCTCAATAACTTTTGATTCTGAGTCCTACAAAATATGGCAGATGCTTGCGAAGAGAAACAGGAATTGAAAAAAATGAAAATAAGCTCTAAAATGTTTAATTTGGCAACATGTTGAGAGATTCAAAATCAATGTTTTTCAATCAAATTTGGTAAGTTTTTCAAGTTCCTGACAATATGTTCCCCTATCATTATTGCTGTCAGAGACATTACATTTTTGTCTTAACAATGTAGCAATACAATGAAAATAATGAATGTCATGATGATTTGAAGAACAGTCCATTCAGGAATTTCAGGGTAATGTATTTTTGTTGCTTGGTCTGTTTTTTTCGGTCTGGAGTCGGTGTGACTAGGTTGTAACCCTGATCAATGCTTTGTACCGTCTTCGGAATGGGTGTGGAGACACACATTCCAATGAGTACTTGTTCTTTTTTGTTTGTTACGCAATTTTGCAGTCTGTTGACCTCATTTTACATTATGACCAGTAAATATACCTCATTAAAACATATACAGGGTATACAGACTCCTGACGACGGATAGTCAACCTGTTCGAAACGTTGAGCCACTCCTACCACCCATCCTCTCCAACCGGCGCTATAGTTCTCCTTAGAACTATAAGCTAAGAAAGATAACCAACAGTCTTTTTCAAGACTACACCAACGGTCCTTTTCAGGACTACACACACTCGAGAAAGATTACTGAGAGTCCTTTCCAGGACTCCTCAATCCTCCCTCTCTCTCACATGGTGCAACCGGAAGCCTACTGTATAACATATATATATTTTTTCAATTTCTGAACCTTTCATGTGCTTTTCAATAAAGAACATGAATGTTGATTCATTCTAAAAGGGAAAGATAGTAAGGCCAGCGTACTGTAATACAAAGTTAGCGCTGTTGCTCTTTTGCAAATGACCACTGTGTACAATCATTGAGCATATGATAAATTGCTATTTAAACTGCCATTTAAACTGCCTGATAAATTATTATTTAAACTGCCTGATAAATTATTATTTAAACTGCCTGATAAATTATTATTTAAACTGCCTGATAAATTATTATTGATGAATACATGTTGTTTGATAAATGTAGATCATGAATCAAAAGTCGGGAATTGAGAAGCACTAACTGCAAATATAGTTGATGGCGTGTAAAAGTGTGATGATTTCATTCATTTCTTCTGAAGGCAAGCCAGAATACCTGTTAATAACTGTACTTTAAGCTCAAACTACCGAAAGAGGTTTATTGTTTATTTGTAAAACTAGACATTGAAACCTTCCAAAAATCATCATAAACATGCTATACTGGAAGTAGAACTTATCTTATGTTAAGAACAATCAATAGTGTGTTTTAAAGTATATTTTAGAAGGATATGGATAAGAAGAAACAATTTTTCTACTTGTACTTAAAAGTAATACAAAGTTTAAGGAAATTTTGAAAATTGGGTGGATAGTGAATCTTTACGATTTTGATATATTTAGATGCCCCTGTGGATGTGTTATAAGCACTAGAAAATTTAGCCCTTAAAACACTTCTGCTTTCAAGAAAATTTGGATATAAAAATTTACCGGTGCTCCCGGTAAATTTTGATGAATTTCAAATAGCGCCTACGACCGTACCATGGTAGCTGCAACCATGAAAATCTCAGAATATGTAGTTGTGATATATAATTTCCAAACGAGAATAGCTAATAGGTTGATTTTTGTCAAGAAACATTGTTTTATAGCTTAATTAATATCCTGACCTTGAGAGGGAGCTATACAACATAAAGAGTTAACTACGGTATTTACAATTTCATAACTGTAGACTCGATTTCAACCGCGACAACGATCACTGAATATTGTAGGATCGCATATGCTTCCAATATGTTCATTTGACCCAAATTCATGACCCCATACCAAAACTTTGTATTACCTTTAAGTTTAAGCTTTCTAATGTTCGTTATTTTGTATACCAATTATTGTTCGTCCAAAGCATGCCTGCAGGTATTTGGGTAAAAATGTCTTGTATGTTGCATGTAAATACACACCAATCTTTTGAGAAAAAAAAAGTGATGTTTAATTTGAGGGGTCAGTGACACAAAGGTGTAACTCCATTTTAAGAAAAAGTGGTTTGTGTCACTCAGCACTTGGGCCTGAAGTCTATGTTTCACTAGCCATTGACTTCAATGGGATGTTGGGTGTGTAAGTCTTTGCGTTTCCTGGAAAGCCCACATTTTTCTGAACATTCTGATATCAAATACTAATTTTGGCAAAATATGGAGTTACGTCTTTGTGTCACTGAACCCTCGAATTGCTGTACTGCCCTCTGAGGGCCAGAAGGGCATTAACTCATAATGCCCAAGGTCAGAGGTCAAGCCCATCTGGCTTGCCGCCTAGTCAATATTTGGATTCATGACACAGTCAATTTATTGGAGAATAATTTCTGAAGTGTCAATTAATGTACGACTCATATGAAAAATATTATAATGCAGGCAGGCATTAACACTAGCTTGAATAATTCATTTGAGAGACCAATGAACATTCCAGCATTTATTGATTACGACTGTATGAGTTTACAATTCCTAATTTGTCAAAGTTTGCAAATCTGTCAGTGTATTTTCAATGACCTCAATGTCAAATAATTGGAGGATAATTTCTGAAGTGTCAATTAATACCATTTCTTTAGTTTTAAGTAAAAAGACTATTCAAGATTAACATTCATATTTTTCTTTTTCATATGTATTAATGTGTAAAGCTATGGATAAAAGTATACACTTTTCCAGGTAACAAAGAATAATATGAATATATTATAATTATGTATCATAATTGTATCATATTATCACAATTATATTAATCATCTACCAGTAAATTTACTTGGGTTAAAGGAATATACATGTATGATATAATCATAGCAAGAATCATCAGAGATTTAATGTCATATTATATTTGTTTTTTGTATTATCATTATCATAGATATGTCTTTCATGAACTGTGTCATTATGGGTATTGTAAACAAAGCTATTGTCACACAACTTAAAAGAAATTACAATAATGCAAGATGTACTTCTTTTTATAGGGCTTTATATTTTATATAGATTTGATATTTTGCTGTATAACTGGGAATGCATGTATACGGTAGTACTAATTAAAAGAGAAAATAAAAGTGTACTTATGAAATACACTGATAAAATATGTGAATCTTGTTTGTGTATTTATTTAATAAACCATAAATACAGTGACAGAGAAATCAGGTAATGAAACCTAACACATTTTTCCAAATTATCTAATATTAAAGGTACTATGTCCCATTTGCAGGCCAAAACAATGAAAAAGTTAAATTCCAACTGCATTTGAAAGATAATACTAATTTAGAACTTCCCTAAAAAGGTGGGGCTTGAAAATGTCTTCAAGTGGGAAAATAACAACTATTAGTTGTCAAATCGACTTTAGGGCTATAGAGCCCAAAAGTAATAGTCTTGATTTTCAGACAATTGTACCGAATGGTCATACGTTTTATGCTGCGCAAAGATTCAATCAGTCTAATCTTGGCCATCACAAGAAGTGGGTTATTGATGTAGACAAATGCTCATGTACCCTTTACAACTATTTTCATGTATGTTATTACCAAAGAAGAAAAAAAGCCAGTCAGTCACTCAATAGTGTCTGACAATGAAGTCTAGCAAGTAAACAGGTTTCCTTGCATAATTTGAATATAAGGACACTGCTAACGTTTAAATTTCACAGATAGGACATACATGACATATTCATAATTCCTGCAAAGTTCTACAGCATTTGAGGTTGGCTGCAAGAGGGACATTGTACCTTTAACTGATCATGAAAACAAGCTGAGAATATGCCTGTACTAGAAAGTACCATCACTGTTATACAAATACTGAATGTCAGACCTGCCAACCTCTGGAGTTCAAAAAACTGTATTCTTTAGTGTCAAAGTTTTATTTTACTGACAAAAGTTGTATTCTTGAAAATAAACATGGATTGTTACGCGAATCAATGCCCCTTACAGTTTCTACCTACAGGAAGATTTTTTTTTATTGATCATTGGTTGAATATGCATTATTTTGTCATGACTGGTGTGTTCGATGAACCAATAAACATCCCCAAATTGCCGATGTGAGATGCTTGTAGGATACTTTACAGGACAGAATGGACATTTTGCCATTGAAAATGGCGGACGCACACACCAAATATTAATTAAACAAATATTTAAAAAAAAATAAATAAAAAAATATAGTTTTATTTTTGTTGAAAATCGTATTTTATTAAGGAAAATTGTACTGTCGTATTTGCTTCTAAAAATCGTACTAAATACGACTAAATCGTACTGGTTGGCAGGTCAAAATTCAATTTATTGTAGTCATGGTGTCACAAGTGTTCTTTGTACATCACTTTTCATGGCATTTTGAGGAACACCCTATTCATTTATAGCTTCTTGCATTTAAAGAAAACTTTAGTTACCATCACCAGAATACAAAAGAATTATAATAGTCATGAGAAATTGGACTGTATGGATACACAATGATTTTTATCATTATGACTATAGCATGAAGGGTTTCTGAACAGACCAAATAGTTGGTCTATCACCCCCTGACTCCGCCCAAAGGCCATTACTTCATATCACTTGGCACATTGTATGATGGGGGGTTGGGTTTCGCGACACAGAGCCTCTTTTGCCGTCAGATTGGCCCAAAATATTAATCAAATAGCACTAACCATCATGAATATTTGTTCCTCATAATATCGCCCAACCTGTCTCTTATAAATCGAACCCAGTCTTTGAGATGTAATAATAATGATGATAATAATATGTCGTTAACCCAGGGTAACCTCATGATGAGTATTAGAGTTTTCCCATATCATTACCCCGGGTTCCATGATAAGGTGCTCAAGCATCCGAGGAATTTCTCCCTACCAGGTACCCATTTACCTCACCTGGGTGGAGAGTGGCAAATGTAGATTTATATCTTGCCAAAGGACATTAGTCCCGCAGTGGGACTCGAACCACGAACCATGTAGTCCACAATCAAGCAACGTATGCACTAGACCATGACACCTCTCCATGTGTCTGATACTGCTCGTACAAGTAGCCACGGCACCACAAGGCACTTTTTTGGCTTCAGTCCCATTTGTTGAATTCCATGTTCCAACAAGTCTGAAGTCTTTGACAGCATATGCTCACCATGTACCACATTCCACTTCCTACGATGTAACATTAGTTTTAGTTTTCCATCCCAGTGCATGCTAAGTCTTTATCACACACTGTCTTCATGGGATGTAAGTCAGTCCGAGGCACTCGGTTTTATGTTGCAATGTGAGAGTCTGAGTTTCTTGATTTCTTGCTCAGCGGCTGATCTTCTTTCTCGTGCCCTTTCGAGTGAACAAAGCGTGCGAAGGTCTCGGCTACAATCAGAGGGAACAGCATGGTAGCTTCACCATATACCTGCATTAAGAGACATGAACAAGTCACCAAGTATAAAAACAGTGCAGTAGAGTATATTTATATTGTAGCTGCGTTATATAAATTAAACTTATCATCATTTATTATCATAAAACTTCAACTTTATAACAAAAATTAAGAACAAATCTTACTAAAACATGGATTTCAAGATTGCACAGAAACACTTCAGGGTCCTATCAGAACTACTTATTAAATGAAGCACTATTTGCACTGTATGACAACAAGGGAAAAAAAAGCTACAAATATTATCATTTCCAATCCATACTTTTGAATACCATAGACCATATTCTCTGCCTACCTAAAACACATGAGCTGAAAAAAATAGCCTCATTCCCATATATTGAACATTGTGTTCTCACCTTGACAGGAGAAGCAGTCATCTTGATTGTTTCTTGTGAGATTTCAGTAATAAAAATCCACAAATATTATCGTTTCCATCATTTACTTTTGAAAAGACAACATTCTCTTCACAGCTAAAACACATGAGCTGAACAAAATTATCCTCAGTGACAGTCCCATATGCTAACTATTGTGTTCTCATCTTGACTGAGAAGCAGTCATCTTGATTAAACCTCATAAGGTTTTAGTAATAAAAATCAACAAACAGTATCGTTTTCATTGTTTACTTTTGAAAAGACCACACTCTCTACCTACTGTACATAAACACATGAGCTGTATAGAAATCATCCTCGTGAAGTCCCATATATTGAATATTGTGTTCTCACCTTGACCGGAGAAGCGGTCATCTTGATTTTACCCCACGAGATAGCTTCATCTGGTCTGGCTCCAGCATCGCACCCATCAAACTCTTGAGCCGTGTTCAGAAATACACAGAAGTCAGCTCCATTCCTCTACAAAATATCAAGAATTAAAAAAAAAAAAAAAAGTTTTTTTTTTCTTTGTTTATTTTATTATAACAAATCATGAGTATTTTTTTTCAACCTGTATAAAATAGAATTTTTTTTTTTAACCTACGTTATCTAGTAACTTACCCGTTCCTCCCACACTGCGCAGGTCAGCACAAGTGCAGATAAGATACCGGGGAAGACGATAAGACAAGGTTTCTTCCAGCTTCCATAGAGAATGTACAGTGGTGTCAACTAATTCCTTACTTTACTAAACTATTGTTCAGGTTTTTAATGCACTCCCCTGATGATTTGATGAGATCTATGTAGGCACCATCGTAATCTGTTAGATATAGTTTATTGACTCCAAAACTATACTTTCTATTGGAATTTCCAGTTCTTGACCCAATGTATTTGTATGGAGACCGGAAGTGCCTTTGCTGAATATACCCATGGCCAATGCTGCCCTCAATGGCCAAATACCATAGTTGTGGTAGCGAGAAATTGCAAGACGGTAACTACACTAAGGGAACCCCTGCCATTACACCATCGGCACTTTGCTACCCAGTGTCACTCCAAAATCATGATGCTGCCCTCTATAGAAGATGTAGAATGGCAGGGGCCATGGGAAAGCAGGATCAATGTCTTCAGAACAATTACAAGCACAAAACCAATTTTATTGTTTTGAGTTATCGAAAAGTAAAAATCTATTTTGAATATAAAAATACAACTTGACTAAAAAATGTTGCTCAGAGTAGTGTCATATACCTTACTTGTGAACAATAAAACCCTCTTGAAAAGTAGATTGTGCAAACTTTTGTTTCATACTTATTTCAGGTTTTAATTACAGTTGATTAAGTGTACCTGTGGTATTGGCTAAGTGACTTACATACCATAAGTTTTGCATTGTGGAGCGCCAGCAGTTTCAAGTCTGACAGTCATGAGTGCTATACAAGAACCCATTTTTATTATTACCATCATCATCATTAATTATTATTATTATTATCATAATCATTGTTGCTGCATGCAGTACATGCTATTTATGAGTTACATACCATAAGGTTTGCATTGCATATATGATGTTTGACCAGCCCACCACCTAAGATGATCATTCCTGTGTGTGCTGCATACACTGCCTGACTGTTCATTCTCCGGACATCTGTGTAAACAAAAAAATAATAACAATAATTATCAAACAAAATTCTATCTATCATTATCAAAAAATGACTTTATGTCGGAAATTAGTGCATAGTAGAAAGGGAACCTCGTAAGAAACACAGAGTTTCTAAATTTGATTACTTGAAACTTCAATAATTCATAACTTCCTTATTTTTCATCGGATTTTAATCACATTTTCACTGATGTGTTTCTCTCATTATCTGCATCTATGAAAACCAACTACATATCAGGGTGGACTTCCCCTTTAAATGTCAAGGGTGGACTTCCCCTTTAAATGTCAAGGGTGAATTGATAGCCAGATAAAGAGAATAGGCGTACTGGGACCCGTTTCACAAAGGCTTTTTTCAATGACAAATGGCAAAAATCAGTGACAAATCTGCTGATAACCAATCAGAAGCAAGGATTTCAGTAGCTTACAATACAAGCTGTCATTTGTCACTGATGACCAGTTTTGTGAAACACCCTCCTGGTTTACTTACCTTCTACGATATCTAGTCTTAGACCAGGATTCTTGTAGGAATGGAAGTAGAGGATATCACCCAATGAACCGTCCGTTAGGGCAGGACTAAACACTGGAATGTTGTTCTGAAAAATGAAGGAGAAAATCATTCAGCTTCATACTTAATCTGGATTTATTTAGAGCTTAGTATGATACACCATCTCTAAGCCCTTTACAGATATTATTACACCAGTCATTGGATTCATTCACGCACACTGTGCACCATCTCCACTCCCTGGGGAGTATTCTTACCATATGGTCATCGTGAGGGCATTTGGAAATTACTAACACAAAGGCGTTCTTCATTCTACCGGATCCCCATTCCTCTCATGGGTATGGAGTGGCAAATGTAGATAAACGACTTGCCAAAGGACATTAGTGCTGTGTCAGGGGATCAAACCACAACTTTTGCATTTCAAGTCAAGTGCTTAAAGGGATTGGGTAACTTTGTCTCAGATTCTGAAACAAAATCCTGGATTTAGCTCATGCTGCAAGCCGATCGCCTGTCTGATTAATCAAGATATTATGATTGGAAAACCGAAATCAACTTAACGTTTTTTTTATGACACTACAGTCTACTGGGGAAATAGAATATGGTAATACCAGTCACTCAAAGATTTTTACTTTTTTGGGCACTTCTTGATCATTTTGAAGCGCAATTTTTTTAGGGCTTCAATGTTACGCCATATCACAGACACTGATAACACGTAGGGCCGTGCATCTCTGATTTAACACTGTTAAACGATGCCTTTAACCCACTTGACTACGACACCTCTAATGAGATACTGAATGAATGAAAGAAGGCATAGAGAGAATGAATGACATGTACCTTATATGCCCAGTAGTAGACAGAATTTGGATCATCGATTTCTTTGCCTAATCTAGCGATCATCTTGGATGGTGTCCAGTTGATACCCTGTAACATAAACACATAATCGTTATGATGATGAATGAAATCCATTGAAGAGCATGGAAACTGCCAATATGATTATCATGATTAAAAAACAAAACAACAACTAATAATTGGTTGTATATATCATGCCCTTTGGAGCAATATCATATTTTGGGTTAAATCTATGTCAAACTGGTGTAATAATTATTATCATTATTACGTATTTGGCATCACCTGTTCCTAGGAGGGGAAAAGCAAACTGATTCACTGTGACCCTAAGGTCTCTCCTCCCGGTATAACTGATTAGGGGCATGCAGGTGGACCACTACACTGGGGTTTCCCCTACTCTTATACAAATAGTGCTGTGGGCTCTTAACGCGCAAAGGTTGCGACTCTCCTCTACACAGGGTCTCCATTTAATGTCCTATCCCAGGGACAAAGTGTTTTCCATTGTAACAACGCCTACGTCTATGAATCAGGGGAGCGGCTCGTTAAAAACACAATGCAGGCTTCAGCCATCCGCCTGGGTTGGATTCGAACCCACAATCTTTGGTCGACAGGCAGACGCTTTTAACTGAACCAACTCGCCGTCTCCGCGAGTTGGCTCAGTTGGTAAAGCGTGTCAGGCTCGTCGGTGTCTCATCAAAACCCACCTCTGTGTTCTGTTCTACCAACATCTGATCTAAGATCGGCATCAGCCAGTCCTCAAACTTGCAGTAGTTCTCGTTCGGAACCAACAGGTTGCCGATCCGATTGATGCCTTTAGGTCTCAGGTCACGACCTCTCAGGCTGAAATCACCAATATATGTGTCTCCTAAACATTTGATGAAGTCTTCTTCAATTCCTCCTGCACTAGAAACTATGCAATCGACCTACATGTAACGGAAGAAAAGAAAAGAAGACAAAGTTTAAAGGAGATGGAGATAAAGATGTATAGAGATGAAAATGAAATAAAGGGATAGAGATAATGAACTTGCCAAAACTCTTTCAGCTAAAAACAAGTTTGTTCTTAAATCAGTTTAGATTCCTAATATAGTCAAACCTGTCTACAGCAACCCCCCAAGGGAAACAAAAAAATGTGCTTGTTGTAGACAGGTAGTCTTTGTAGACAGGATCCTTTAGTACATGATTCAATGAGAAACCATTTTCAAGGGAAACAAAAAATGTGTTTGGTCTTTGTAGACAGGTGGTCACTAAAGCAGGTTTGACTGTATTTGCTATTTTGTCATAAACCATGGCACACACATCCATTATTATACAAAAATATCACATGGCTCTTAGTTTTTTAGATAACTTTGAAATGGTCAAAAGCCCTTTCCACTGCGTTTTGGGCTTCGGACAATTGAAAATGCACTCAGAGTCAGAGCAAATCTATGATCTGTACATATATTTGAACTCATACACAGCTAGACCTTAGCTTCTCACCAAATTGTGTTGGGCTAGGAATCTAAAATTTTCTCGGAGACCTGATGAGATAAGGTTGGAGGTGTACCCCAGGAAGATGGTACAATTTGACTTGAGTCGCCCGCAAGGATTCAGCTCAGCTCCCTTCTTAGCTTCCTCTTCATCGTATCCTTCTTCTTTCTTGGATATCTGAAATGAATCATTTGTGAATTGAACTTGGCGTCATTACCTACGAGAAAAGACATCAAGCTAGAGACTTATAAATCAGAGTTACTAGCACCTAAACCACCAGATAATCTTGAATGTTTGATTAAACTAGTCAGTTATTATTTGAAGTTCTGGGCCAGTATTCAATTCAATACTTAGAATAAGTAAGAAATTTACCAAGTAAATGGCTGAGGTAAGAAGTTAATTTATCTCATATTCAAATTGCATTTTTAGACTTTTACTGTTATTATTTGAAGTTCAGTAGCTTAAAGCCCCACTGCACTACTTTAAGCCACTTGCGCCCTCTATATAGCAAACAATGCCTAATCGGTGACTGTTAGTCCCCCATGCCCATGGTCCCTCTTATGTTAATTGACAGCTGATTTGATGAGATAACCACCTGTCAGTGACTATGCAGGGAGGTCTAATCCCTCCTGGCTAAACTAGTGCAAAAATGCTTTAGGCAAACATATCTTTATCTACTTAACCATACCCAATAGTGTAGACCATAGCTTATTGAGAGAGAAAGTTGTGACACGCACATATACGCCTTACAAAGAAGAAGAAGAAGAAAAAAATCAAATATATAATTGCTGCATATACCATTTTTTGAATTTCCTCAATAGCCAGTCCTAGATTTGTTGCTTGGAATCCACATGTCTTAAACGATTGTAGAAGCTTGTGATAATCAATACCCTCGTTGAAATCATAACCTTTGACCTTTACAGAATCCTTTGGCATCTCAGAGCTCTGGACCATGACAGCTGATGTTGCTAAGTCTGGAGGTGCAGCCATCTTACTAGCGATTCATCCACTAGTTTTAGAAATGTCTGAAAAAAAAGAATGTTCAATTTTAACACCCCACACATACTATCCTGGCTGTGTGTATCAAAACCTCTTCTATTGATAGATCTACTCAACATTTTAAAAACTCAACTGATTTCACTTAAAATCAGTACTTTAGTGACAATTGATGACACCTAAATAGCAGTAAAATACAATTTTTTCAACTTCCGATGTTAGAAAGAATAATTTAAAAATCCAAATTGTGAGTCTACTGTCAAACTTACCGATCAACCCCATCGGCATAATTGTGTGCATCTGTGTGTTGTGAGTGTATTGACTAGTAGTAGACTATTCATGTATTTAAAATGCTGCCTATTAACACGTAGTGCAGTGCTAGAGGTCAATACGCATTAGCATTGACTCTCTATGCTTTGCTTGACTCTGGAGTGACCCTACCCAGATCAGAGGCAACAAACGAAAGAGACAGAAACTTAATTCGGTCTAAAAGTTAGACTCTAGATTCTACCCCCAGCTCAGCACATCATCACATGCTCTTTAAAAACAGAATTGCATTCTTTCATACAATGCCTCCATGTTTCTTTTCCTGGTGATGCTACATCACGTCTGATACTGATAGCATTATTGGTATTGTATTTGTAATTGTAAAAGTTAGATTTGTATGCGAGTGGTCCAACTCTGTCTAACATTAAAGTTGATACTCTAAGCAAATAAATGTCCCTTAATTTGTTACCTACGGCAAGTATATGTTATTTTTAAGTTTTTCAATTACTTAGTATATCACAAAAAAATCCTGTCTACTCGAAATCCTCAATTGAAATGTCTAAAATATCCGCCTCTCTTTGCATAGAAAATCAGTCACGACGCTGGTCTACTATTTATGACCTCACGTCCGGGAGAGAGTATATTCACGTACCCGGATGTTCCATAGCAAACATGTGCAGAGTGATACGATTTTCTGCATATTTTTGTTTCAAAGGCTGAAAAGTCTAATAAATCATAATTCTATGTACAATTCTTTACCTTCCCCTAGTACTTCATAGTATTAATATCAATTCCCCTTTTAAAAATTATGACATATACATGCCAACGATGTGCTATTAGTCGATGTAATTTTTGTTTTGGTGTTGAAATCGGCCCAGGCACGGAGTGAACAGTAGCTGTCTACCCATGCACAGTTCATTACCATACACTACAGCGATCTCCCGATGGTTTCTTCTTCCTTTTTCCCCATGTCTTTCGCCTTCCTTGGCCCTGAACATCCTTCATCTACCAATTCTGACACCGGTAGTCAGGAGCAAGTCTTTGTTAGTTGTTTTTCTTAGCTGGCAACGTCGCTTTCATTCTCTTGCAATTGCCGATAAACATATAACTAGCGCACGTACGTTCCATCACAAGCAAGCAGCCGCCTAGAGCAGCGGCTTGGTCTTACCTCCCGATTCTGCTCGCTCCACGAACGTTCATGCAAGAGCCGCATCACTCGCCAAAATATTATAGAGGAAGCGCGCTTGTATGATCTCGTTCAAGTTTGATATTTTACAACATAAAATGTTTAACTGGTACTGTATCCTTTTTTGAGGCAGTCACACACATCTATGATAAGTACTATCATAGTTCTAGACCTATTCGTTTTACAAAACTGCTCATGTACATCTGATGACAATACAATGCATCCGCCTATTCATAAGTGCACGATTTAACTTTAATTCCTAAGCAGTAAACTCGTCTTAAATCTCTACCAAATAGGTGAATATGAGGATATAAAAAGAAATCAGCGACTGGAAAATGTTGCTTCGTTATTCTTCATTCAAATGAAAACAGAAAATCCATCAAATATACTCCTTAACAACAACAAATCTAAGCTCTGACAGGATAGCATTTACGTAGGGATATCACTGCCATTCACTCTCACTGAGCCCATGACTCCCGTTTGTGACGTCACGGATAGAGGCCCGACTCTACGTGCACTTCCGGGTTTCAGACTTAGATATTTTGGTAGAGTTTACTCGAATAAATTCATTATTCTAAACTTGTTTTGTCGGGTGGACACCATTTGGTGTTATTATGGGGGTTAAAAGCTTTCTATTTATGTAATTATCTCAGTATTTGGGATTGTCTTAGAGTATCAACTTTAACAACAACAACAGTTTGAACTTTGATTTAGAAAACTTCACTGATGATTTCTTTTAGCATGTTTAGTCTTACACTTAGCTTAGACTAGTCTCGACAGAAATAACCGTCTGATATGGGTCATTTCTTTAATAAAACTGACATTTGTTGGCATTCCCCATAGCCATAGAGGCTAGAGGCTTGATCTAGAGGCGGTCAGTGGAGCCAGATGCAATCTCAGCGGAATTGGAACCACCGTCGACATGGTCGATATCAGACTCAGAGACTGAAACTTTCTTTCGGTCTAAGACTAGTCATGCTAAGTATTAGCCTTACAATTGATCATAATGCATGTGGCATATTCCTTAAGCTTTATAGACACAAGACATTTCATAACTGGATAGTATCTTACCAAAGAAACAATATTACAACTTCCTTATGTTCCGTGTTTGGCCTTGCTGAGCTGAAGCGTAGCAGTCGTGTTTAATGTACACAACACTAATCTCATACAGTGGTACCGTTATGCAACCTGTACGGTGTAGTAGAGAAGACAAATCTTTACAGACTTCTCCCCCTTCTTTTTTGGAGATGTTTAAATCTCTATATTGTAACGGACACGATTTTGCCACCTTGGCTTGACACGGAGTATTTGTCAGGATGCCCGTGTCTGGCCTGGTGCTCCCCGTCGTTCGTTTGGACAAAATATATGCCCGTAGCTTGATGGCTGGATTTCTTCACTGCTCACGTCACAGGGCGTATATCAACAATCGTGCATCCTTCGACTGCAATCGGTCACCCCAATCGTTGTGCACAGCAACAGTCAATTGAACATCCTTCGAGCAATCAATCAATCATTCATCTCTTCTTAATCACTCAATGTAATTTCACTGCTCTAAGAAATTAAATCAGAATATTGAATTGTAAGTCAAAAGGCTTTAATGCTCACCTGGTCAATGCAACAGGTATGATAACACGAGTGCAAACTTCAGGTTAGCCTCGGTGAGGCTGGCCTGTACAACGGATATAGTGCAGTGGAAAGCCCTAAATACACAATCCTGCCCATCTTAAAAATTTCCCTATACATAACCGTATAAAAGAACAATTATGTCCTCGTTAGTAAAACAACACTTCAACACAACATTTCTGCTAATCCCATAAAATCTTCACATATAATCTTCAGTATAACCCCTTATTCCTGATTAGATCACTACTATACAAGTAATATCCCCAAAAGAAATATGATAATTGCACCAACATGATCAAAATATGTAATTTATGCTCATTTTCCTTCAGTTTGGTAATTGCTAAATCAACGATGCTCCATATTGCTATAGCGCATGCGCGTACAACAAAAATGCTTAACCTTCGTCCAATACTAAAACCCTGATTTGTTACAATATAATAAATGGCAGTAACCAGTGGAGTAATGTTTTTTCTTCGGGGGGGGGGGGGGGGGGGCAGAAAAAAATCTGCATCACCTCTACTGTTACATGTTACAAATTCAAATTCAAATACAAACTTTATTGATTTCAATCCAAACAGATAGGATCATTCTCAATTTTTGTACATTGGATAACAAATTTCAAAGTATTCTAGTGTATATCAGTTTAGTTTATTTTAACCATAAAAATGAAACATGTACATACAATTGAGTAACATAGTAAACATAATACGGTAAAGGACACCCTTAGAAACAAATTGCTTTTGGTGGGGCCTTAAAAAGAAAAACAAACTTCACATAAATTATACAGTTTAAAAACTTTAAAATAACATGATACGTACAAACCATAGTATATCTCTATGGTACAAACACACATGCACGCTCACTCATACACATTACATTCAAAATATCCTCCTTAGCTCAAACTTGTTTACATAAATCAATAAATAATAACTGTGTACATCGTACTTTAAATCGAAAAAGAGTTGTATTTTCCTTGATATCATTACTTAAATTATTCCATTCCTTAATGCCATTTAAATAGAAAGAATTTTGTGCATTTGCCGTACGAACTTTAAATAAATGTAAATCATTTTTCTGACGAGTAGAATACGAGTGAATATCACTATTAATAACAAGGTTTATATTAGGAATTTCTGGCAATAGGCGATTTTGAAATTTAAACAAAAATATGCGAGTATTAAATTGAACCAATTCAAAAATTGGGACAGTGTTTTAACAAAAAGTGGCCGTGATGGGGCTAAATAATCAGATTTAGTAATAATACGCACGGCTCGTTTCTGTAACAAATAATAAATAAAGTAGATAATTGAGTAAAAATAACAATAACCAGGAGTGACACAAATTAACATACTACTGCATATGTCTCACCTGAAATACAATACAGGGATGAAAAGAAATTATATTACTCATAATACTTATTCAAATAACAAGAATAAAACAAAATATAAACATATATACAACATGACAGTAAAACAATATACATATGTTTTATGATTACCAAATTTAGATGATCCCGACATCGAGATTGATAAAGGTAAAACACAATCAATGATCTACTAATTTCGCATATAGTCGTATTTCTATATCACATAATATACAACCAAAATATATTAATAGTACATGTATAAATTAAGACGCCGCGGAGCGTTTCAATTGGGGGGGGGGGGGGGGGGGGAGGCGAGGGGGTAAAGTATTTGCGATCAGGAAGAGCGTTGCGAGTGGAGCGTTATTTGTTTGTTTGATTGATTTTATTTCTGCGTTCAAAAATATACAAATTCAAAGTCAAAGTACAAAATTTCGAACAATAACAAATACAATGAATACAATGTTTACAAAAGTAATTAAATGAAAAATCATGTACAATTATATCATTCGCTAAACATGTACGAAGCATTTGACGTGGGGTCCAGGGGTAAAGCCCCGGTGGGGGTCAAGGAGCGGAGCCCCCGGAAGCTAGCTCAGGGGTTTGGCCGTTAATTACGGTCAGATCAGTATATTTTGATACCTCATTATTTTGTGACACTGGCAGGTCACTTTTCTTTCTTTATTTCTTTGTATTTATCTTTAACATACTTTCCCATACTAAAGGGTATTTCAAAAAAGTGTACTCCTAAACAACTGTTGTAAAATTGTAACCCCTTGAGCATTTTGAAGTGTGATAGGGATTACCATCTAAGTTGTTGACAATGTAAAATAAAAATCGAATTGCGCTTCTGATGTAAAATTCACAATGTAAACATTTATTTCAATAGAGAAGCAATGAAATCAACCTGTATGCATATATACACTTCCAAATGGTCATCATCAGTCCTTTCTTGGAATAAAATAGTTACATTTCAAATTTGATATATTTTAAATGATTGATCGATTGATTAATTGAAAAGGTTTTTATTATGATTGCACTTTGCAACCAAATGGCTGAATTATGTACAACATACATTGGCAATAATACATACAAATGTGGTATGAAAAACGGATCAACTTTGATAAGATCAAGATGCTGTTTGCACAAAGTATATTATATTACAAAATTTATGACCAACATGACTAAGGCAATAACAGACAAAAGGTATAAAGACAGAGAAAAGGGACAACGGAGATAGAGTTATATGTTGTGAGCCTGTGAGGTGACACAAGAGTAGGTAAAAGGATGAGCAAGCAGTCCCTTTGAGATCTTACTTTCTCATACACGTTCTTCTAACAAACTTCTCTCACCCCTCCCCCCGCCCGGCCCCCCGCACACCCACACATCACTACACTGAAAACTCATAGCATTAATCAACAAAGCACACTCCTATACCGTGTGAGTCAAAAAAAAGTTTACACCTAGACAATTGCTAATCAGTTATTTTAAAAATCATCTATGAACAGTAAATTATTATACATCTTACGAAAGAGCGTTTCATCCCAAATCATTTGGTATCATTTCTGTAGGGTATGTGTTCATGCGGATTGGATGAACGGGAGGCATTGTTTGGGAAAGTGCAAAAATCGACTTGCGCCAATGTGTTTACAAAAAGTACACAATGTACAGTGAACAGGTACTAATCTATATGCAAGACACACTAAGGGACCAGCAGGCGCGCCGGAAGCAGTTTGGGATTGGTGGGCAAACATTCCAGGCCGGGCTCACTTTCCAGTGGCGTATTAAAATAATGAGCAAAAACTTTTTTTTTTTTTTTTTTTTTTTTTTTGGGGGGGGGGGGGGGGTAGAAGAAAAAAACTGCATCACCACAACTCTTACATGTTACATGCAGGCCCCGCGGAACGTTTTTCAAAATGGAGTACGATCAGGTAGAGTGCAGCGAGCGTAAATTTGTGTGGGGTCCAGGGCCTTTGCCTCCGGAAGCTCAGGCTTTTTAGGCATTAATTTACGATCAGATAAGCATATTTAAATACCTTATTTGTGACTTCACTAATTAGCGGGGGGTCCAGGGGGCAGGACCTCGGAAGCTCAGAGGTTTAAGGTATTAAATAACGGTCAGATAAACATCCAGGGGCCCGCCTTAGGGACCTTGATGGGGTCGAGGGGGCAGAGCCCCCATGAACTCATGGGTTTTAGGTATTATTTACGGCCAGATTGGCATTTGTCACCTCCTTTGTGACATTGACGGGTACCTCATTTTTCATCTCTCTTTTATTCCTTTTCTCTTTAATATATCTTTTCAAAATCGTGATGATTGAGGGGGGGGGGGGGGGTAGAGCCCCAGAGCCCCGACGTTCCGCAGGCCCTTACATGAAGGCTTCTATATGAGCATATTTTTTCGCCCGACTGTAAATTTGGGAATTTGTAATTTTCCTAAAACGCATACAAATGTACAATTTACCAAAAAATCATGTCATTCCAGTAACATTCGTAAATCACTGGTATCAAATTAGAAACCCCCCCATCAGTACGCCAGCGTTCAGGGGCTCAACTGTTCTCACCTCTATAATAAAAACACACACACGCTTTCCTATCCTCTCACAATATTTCTACGATATGCGCGTATCGCTATAAAAACATTTATTGATATTAGGGCATGCGGAATGTATAGTAAATTTAAATCCTGTTAACTTTGCCTTTCTTTGAATGGAATATAATGTGTATGTTATTCAATTCGGGTTTTATTATTTGTATGTTCTTTCTGCAAGTACCCCCCCCCCCTGCCCCCACACTTCCGGCTTCTATGGGGACCAGCTATGCGACGTGAGACTTGGCAGGTCTGGCCGTGTGCGTCGATATCGTGGGCACCCATCTCGATCTACTGAAGATCTTAAGATCGTTTCAATCCAACTCGCTCTAGATAAGCTACCTCTCGCTGCCGACTATGAACAAACACGACGGAAGCAAACACGATGAATTATTGCCCCCCCCCCCGGTCTGGCCATAAGGGCTAGAAGAACAACTTAAACGCGTATACCGGCGCGTACGTACAGTAGGATTTTGAATCATTTTGAAAAAGTACTCCCTTTTCTTGAAAATGGCCCAAAATAGACGTTTTTGAACCCCTAAATGCGGGATCGGGCGGGCCGCGTCCGTAGTATAACCACCCACCTTTATACGCGTTTTCTTGGTCAC